AATCCAAAACACATGCTCGGAGCATATCCTCAAGCGTCTGAATCGTCCGCTCGCTCTGTCCGTGTCTGCGGGTGGTATGCGGTACTGAAATGCAGTCTCGTACCCAACTCCTCATGAAACTTCTTCCAAAACCTGGAAGTAAAACGCACATCCCGATCTGAAACGATCAACATCGGAACCCCATGCCGCGATACCACCTCCCTCACGTATAATTCCGCCAACTTCTCCGCAGAAGAGCTCTCGCTGATGGCTAGAAAATGAGTGCTCTTCGTCAATCTATCCACGATCACCCAAATCGCATCGACTCCTCTCGCAGTCCTCGGCAATTTGGTGATAAAATCCATGGTAATCTGTTCCCACTTCCATTCGGGAATCTCTAGCGGCTGCAATTTACCGTGCGGACGCTGGTGCTCGGCCATAACCTGACGACAAGTCAGGCACCTGCTCAACGAACCATGCAACATCCCTCTTCATACAGGGCCACCAATACTCCTTCCTTAGGTCCAAATACATCTTAGTATCCCCAGGATGAATCGAGAATTTTGATCGGTGCGCATCCTCCATCAAAATAGTACGCGTACTGCCCACAAATGGTACCCAAATCCGACCCTGAAAAGTTATAAGTCCCCGACCATCCGTAACAAATTCCGATACCTGACCGATAACCCGCTCCCTCTTCTGGTTTTCTGGTCTCGTAGCCTCAGCCTGAGCTCCTCGGATGGTGTCCAAAATTGGGGTCATCACCGTCAACCTCATACAAATATCTCGGATCAGGGCGCTTTCCGCCCTACGGATCAATGCATCAGCCACCACATTAGCCTCTCCCGGGTGGTACAGGATCTGACAATCATAATTCTTCACCACATCTAACCATCTCCTCTGTCGCATATTCAGATTTGGCTGATCCATCAAGTACTTCAGACTCTTGTGGTCGTGTAGATGGTACACCGAACCCCATAAAGATAGTGCCGCTAGATCTTGAGGGCAAACACCACAGCCCCCAATTCCAGGTCGTGGGTGGGATATCTCGACTCATGAGGCTTCAACTGCCTCGAAGCATACGCTATAACATGTCCCCTCTGCATAAGCACTGCCCCTAATCCAGATATAGATGCATCACAGTATACCACAAAATCCTCCATCCCTTCCGGGAGTGCAAGCACCGGGGCCTCGCACAATTTCTGATGAAGGGTCTCGAATGAGGACTGCTGCTCCGGTCCCCATGAAAATGCAACACCCTTCCGGGTCATCTTAGTAAGTGGCACAGCAATCTTGGAGAAATTTGATAAACCTTCGATAATAGCCGGCCAATCCCAGAAAACTCCTGATCTCAGTGGGCGATCTCGGCACTTCCCATCTAAACCGCCTCGATCTTGGCCGGATGACCAATATCCCTTTCTGGTTAACAAGGTGCCCGGAACTGGACCTCTCGTAACCAGAAATCACACTTGGAGAATTTGGCATACAGCCTCTCCGATCTCAATACCCAAGAATTTCCCTCAAATGCTCCTCATGCTGCTCCCTAGACCTCGAATATACCAAAATATCATCAATGAATACGATCACCGACCGATCCAGCATCGGCCTGCACACCCTGTTCATAAGATCCATGAACGCAGCCGGGGCATTGGTGAGCCCAAAAGGCATCACCACAAACTCATAATGTCCATAACGAGTTCTGAATGCAGTCTTCTGAATATCTTCATCCCGAACCCTCATCTGATGATAACCCGACCTCAAGTCTATCTTGGAGAACCAAGATGCCCCCTGCAACTGATCGAACAGATCATCGATCCTAGGTAACGGATACCGGTTCTTAACCGTCAACTTGTTCAACTCCCGGTAATCGATACACATCCGGTGTGAACCATCCTTTTTCTTGACAAACAAAATCGGTGCTCCCCAAGGTGAGCTACTCGGTCGAATAAACCCCTTTCCCAACAGCTCCTGAAGCTGCAGGATAACTCCTGCATTTCCGGTGGAGCGAGACGATAAGGCGCCTTGGCGATGGGCGCCGCTCCCGGAACCAAATCGATACGGAACTCCACTTGCCTTTCCGGAGCACACCTGGTTACTCTTCGGGGAACACATCCGAAAACTCGCATACTACAGGAACGTCGTCACCGAATTGGGCCTCCCCGCGGCCACTCGAGTATCCATCACGTAGGCTATGAATCCATTGCAGCCCTGCTGCAAACTCGGCCTCGCCCTGGCAACCGAACAAAACGCCGACCCACATCAGGTCCCCTCCCCATACACCGTAAGCACTCCCCCACTAGGGTCTTGAATAGTCACCATCTGTGTCTCGCAGTCAATGACTGCCCCAAACTTACTCAACCAGTCCATGCCCACGATGACGCAGACATCCCCCATCACTCTAGGAACCAAGTCTATAGGGAACTTGACCCCAAAGATCTCGAGCACACATCCTCGATCACGTCAGTGGCGTATCCTGCTTTCTCATCCGCTATAGAAACCCGTAGGGGTCGACTCATCACTCCCGCTCAATACCGATGTGTTGGCTAAACGTCAAACAATACAAAAGACCGACTCGCACCCAAGTCAAATAATACCAAGGCAGGTACAAAATTCACAAGAAAAGTACCAGCTACGACATCAGGCGCCGCGCGGACCTCCTCCGCCAGTAAACTGAAAAGCTCTCCCACGAGCCTTCAGAGCCTCATCTTTCACCGGCCAAGTCTCGGTAACCCTGGCAGCAGGCGTAGATCCCTGGCGAAGCTG